GGGACGATCAAGGTGTGGAAGTTGGAGGGAGCGCAGGTGAAAGTCAGCAAGGGTTGGCCCGCTGGGTTGACGCTGTTGGTGATGAAGGTTCGCCTGACTGACTCGCTGTGCGGGCACACGCGGGGAGTTTACAGCTTCACGTACGACGAGGAGGAGGATTGTTTGATCAGGTGGGGAGGAGAGAGGGGAGGAGGGAGGGGAGGAGGGAGAGGGGGAGAGAAAGGAAGGGAAGGAAGTTGGGAGGTAGCAGAGGATAGAGGAAGATAAATTGAGAAAGGAGACCATTTAATTGGTAGGAATCGTTCTTACAATCATAGATGTTAGGGACATGCGTTGCCAGTGCTGCTGCTGAAAGCTGTGCTGACGGACAGTTTGGGAGACGACGGAGTTTTGTGCTTCTGGAAGCTTGAAAGCATGCGACTCATGCATTCGTTCGAAGTCTTCAAGCCTTGTCCCTCCCTCCTGGTATGTCCTGCGATCTGAATCGGCACGACAATGACGCTGTTGCCTGAGGCGCTGGCAACTCGCAGAGCAAAACGATCGACTTTGATCGAGGTGAGGAGGAGCAGGAGCAGGAGCAGGAGCAGGAGCAAGAGCAAGAGCAAGAGCAGGAGCAGGAGGAGGATGCTCTTAACGTGGACAAAGCCTTTGTTGTTGAGACTTGATCTCGGCAGAGCCGGTCCAGAGGCTTCATAGCGAACGGGATGATTTTGTTGTTTTCAAGCAGGTGCAGCAGGTTGTGCGATTGTCTCCCTCTTCTGACATCTGAGAACAGCACAAGAGCACATTCAACAACAACAACAACAACAACAACCACGTCATCATCATCATCATCGTCGTTTTCTTCCCTCCTCCTGGCTGTCAGAGATTCAACTTTGCACTTCCTGAAAATTTCTTATAAGATGGAGATGACGAAAAGTTTGAGTTCAGTGCTAGAGAGATACTGATGTCCCGTCTCCTCCCCTTCCTACTCTTCTCCTCCCTCCCTCCTCTCCTCTCCTCTCCTCTCCTCTCCTCTCCTCTCCTCTCCTCTCCTCTCCTCTCCTCTCCTCTCCTCTCCTCTCCTCTCCTCTCCTCTCACCAATCCGCAGTTTGCAGTCATCATTCCATCGATTGCAAGGCATCAACTGCGATCATCGGAGATGTCAATCGAGGAACTGGAGGATCTCATGACGGAGGAACTTCAGTTTGCACATGTACAACTTCTCAACATATATCTTCAGTTTTTCTCATCATCTCTGCAGGAAATTTCCAACGACTCGCAGGTTGCAGTTCTTTGCGATGACAGAACCGTTCAGACATATCGGCCAGTTGTGAGTTCGTCGATGATGATGATGATGATGATGAAGGAGAAGGAGAAGAAGGGAGAAGGAGGATGACAGTGGTGATGGTGGTGATATTGGTGATAGGGAGAATGGCAAGGGATGGGGCGAGAGGAGGACGAGGATGGTCAAATCCATCCTGACTTGATTGCAGAGTGGAAATTTGCTGCATGTGAGCAGTTTGAAAGCAGACAACCAAGAGGAAGGAGACAAGAAGAAAAGACATGAAGTCAGTCCTCCTCCTCATCATCATCTTCATGCCGCTCTCTACCTCCCTCCTCCTCATGATCATCCTCCTCCTCCCTCCACCTTCTCCTCGATTCCTCCTCCTTCTCTGCCTCCTTTCCTCCTCTTATCTTCCCACCACCACCACCACCACCGCCTCCTCCTCCTCCTCCTCCTCCTCCTCCCCCTGCCCCTCTTGCAGTTTCACTCTCATTTCTGACGGTCTGCTACAAGCTCGGAGGAGCAAGACCCGATCGTATCTTTCGTCATCAATTCCTATAACGATGACCTCGTGGTCGGATGGGCCTCGGGGAAAATTCGTTTCTACGACTGCGAAAGCATGGAGTAATCTTCCCCTCCCTCACTCAGTACTCACTCCTCCCCACTTCCTCTCTCCCTCCCTCCCTCCCTC